TATTTAGTAAGAAAGTAAATTGAAAATTACGTCAAAATTATATAGGTCGAAAAGGCTTTTCAGAAGCAAGTTGGTATCTTTCAAAATCCAAAAGCTAGCAGAAAGGTCAAAGCCAAAGATCTCCGCTGGTATAAGGATGTAGGTCTAGGGTTCAAAACGCCTAAGGAGGCTATTGAAGGCCACTACATAGATAAAAAATGTCCCTGGACTGGTGAGGTGTCTATTCGAGGTCGTATATTGACTGGCGTAGTAGTTTCTAACAAAATGAAAAGAACAATTATTGTTCGCCGTGAATATTTGCACTATATCACAAAATACAATCGTTATGAAAAACGTCACAAAAATCTTGCTGCACATTTATCTCCCGCCTTTGTTGGCGTCTCAGTAAGTAAATTCTCGAAGCATATCTTTTACATATCATAGATTAATATTAACTAATTTTTTTTTTTTTTGATTCAGGCGGGCGATATTGTTACTGTGGGCCAATGCCGGTAATGAGCTTATTATTAATTTTATATTTCAATAATATATTATAATTATATCGATTAATTGAGCTGATTAACACAACTAGCCCTCTCTCCAAGACTGTTCGCTTCAATGTTCTTAAAGTTCAAAAGAGAGTTCTAAAGGGACCAAAACAATTCGCCAAGTATGTAAAAATTCTAAACATTCTTAAATACTTTCATGTCATATTGTTAAATCATATATTTGTATATTGCTATAATAGGTTCTAAACGTATATTCAATGAAATAAATTTGCCTTTTTTTTTGAATTACGACATTATTACATAGCTTGGGTTTGTAAATTGGGTTTCTACTTCATTTGAGATAATAAGCAAACCCAAATATATGTCTTATTTTTGATCAATAGTGTCAAACCAGAAACCAATCAAATTTGTTAAATCAATGCTATAAATTATTAAAACATCGAATATGTACACACTAAGTGAAAAATAATTATAAAAGTGAAAACTTTTCACATCAAAATAAAATTTTGAATCCTCGTAAATAATGAACTCTCGACAATGTCTCCGTATGACTAATAGAAAGTAAAATCTTTTAGTAAAAATCGATATCTTATCCATTATCCTCTATTGTTAAATAACCCATAGTTAATTAAGAAATGAATTACATTAGTGTTGTGTCTTGGACCTTATTTAGATTATTCCAATTAGTCCAGATATATAATACATGCCATCAATTTATTATGAATACTACATATCTCAATGCTAGTACCTTAGGTTTTGCCTGACCCGGAGACAATATTTTTTCTGAGAGTGGAAATGAGCATTTAAAGCAACTGCATTAGAAAGTTGTACTAACTGCAATCTTGTATTCACTAAATACAGCACTAAATACTGTAAGTACTGTATTTAAGTTCAATATTTGGAAAGAAGTCAATAGAAAAGAGAGAACTCATTTTAGTAACTTTTTTTAAATTTTAAATTAAAATATCTCGACAACTGCCAAATCAATTTTAATAAATTTTTTTGGTTTAATTCTATAAATATATATATAGAATTAAATAAAAAAGTTTTTATTAGATTTGGTTTGTAGTGAGTTGAAGAGACTTTTACTTAAAAAAATTTATCTCGTTCTCCCATTTTTTTAAAATTTTAATTGCTTATAAAGTATTAAATTTTATATCTATTAAATACTTATTTTTAGATATATACTTTAAAATATTTTTAAATAAATACTTTGTAATTGTATTTTCAATGCAGCTTGTATTTAATAAGTATACTGTAATTAAATACATTTTAATAATTTTAATAATTATTAAATATTTGTCAGTATTTTAATAAACTTAATGATGTGTCAGATATTATATATCGGAGTTCTGAATGACTAGGAAACTTTAACACCGCGGGGCTAGGGACCCGGGATATCTATACAGACGGATTTAGTCAGAAAAAAAAATTTTAGTTTAAAATAGCTAGTTTATATATACTATATTATAATTTTATTATTATATTTCTGTATTTATCTATTAACTAATTTTAGTATATTGATACGTATAAACAAAGTATTTACTGTATTTAATTTGATGTCAAATTGGTATAAAAGAGAATTAAATATTAATACTGTACAGTATATACAGTATATAGTTAATTAATTAACAAATTTTTTTTTTGCTAAAAACTATATAAATAATTAATTTTTTTATAATTATGCTAATAAATTATTCTACTGTAGTGATTTTTTTTTTAAAAAAAAATATTAACTAAAATCTAAATTTTAATTAAAATAATTAAAAGTAAAAAATTTTTTTAGCTTTGATTTTTTAATATAAAGCTTAAAAACTATAAAAAGCAGTTAATACGTATTAGCTAAAAAATTTTAAATTTGTTTTTTTCAATTATATATTATAAAATACATCTATGGTGTATAGAATTGTTTTTATAAAGTTTAGTGTTAGGAGCTTGCACTTTTATAATTTTCAAGATACAAAGTATATAGTTTTTTATATATTTTTGTTACAAGTGCCTTTTGCATCTTTCAGACGGGCTGCGGGCAACCTGGTTGGCCAGGCCAAACCATCTGTATTATCGAAAATTCTTGTATTTTTATGATATTTTAATCTACATAAAAATTTTTATTACAAATGAAGTTTGTAAATTTGGTGGTTTGGGTAATTTTTTGCAATCATAATAAAAACTCTAAAAAATATGCGTAACATAATACAGTAAAACCTGCATTCCAAGAAATTTTGTTTGCGGAATAAATTTTCAATCTGCGTACTGAAGATTCCGTATATATTTTAAACACTGACTATAGACCCTTTTAATGTTGCTGGTAATGCTTTTAGCAAGAAGAATTGATTGAAACCATCATCGCATCAGCATATCCTTAAGAAGTTGGGCTCAGGAGGCTAATTTCAGAATATTTTGCAATTCATTTAAAATAAATGGATGAAGTACTGCAAATATAAAGGCTTTCGTTCTTTTGTCTATCGCTAGTACATAGCTAAAATTAAACCGTTGTTGCTCAATTTCCCGAAGTACCATTCCTCTGACCCCCAATACACATTTTTGACGGCCCATTCGCCGATAGAAGTTTGCATAGAATGTTTTTCCGATCAAACTAATTTTCTGAAACTAAATTCTTTGACATGAAGTATAATAATAGTCTATAGTTTTTAGTTTGGAGAAATGGCTTCAGATAAATGACTTGTGATTAAATGAGATTTTTCGGGAAAATGAGATACCAAAAGTATGTCTTGTCAATAAAATGGATTATCAGTATTATGACTTCGGTATTTCAGGAAACGGATTTCGGGAAGTTAACCCATAGCCAAATTAGACATGCGATACAAACGTCATCAAACCCGCTTTTTTTTTTTTGCACATAATGCTGGAATGCGGCCAAGATAGTTATAATTCGGGCCAGGTGCCTATTTTTGGAGGAATGTGGTACGTATAACGTAATATATATATACGTACGTATACGTATAATTATTATTTATTTATTTAATAAAATAAACTATACAAAATTAATTTTTGGTTATTACTGTAATATATATAGTACGTATGTTAAAGCAAATCTGGCTAACGATTTTTTAATTTTATGTATCATATAAAATTTTATATACGAGTGTGAAAGTGTAATGTTAAAAATTTCTTGCATAGACTATTTTAAACATGTTCTTTAAAATTTCTCTTAAGCCTAGACTTGACCTTTAAACAGGGTTTAATCAAGTTTTAATGCTGTAATTGTTATTTATAACAAAAACTAATTTATTATAATTCAAATTTTTTTTCTCTAAATATTAAATTTTGTCAACTATTTTATTAACAATTATTAAAAAATTAGTCAACATTAATTTTACGTTAGGCCAACAGTTAGTAAAGTGGTAAGCGCACAAGTCTATTTAAAAGTTTTTACGTACTATAATGTGCGTATCTTCATAGACTTATCAAAAAAAATTTTTTTATCGATCACTAATTTCAATAAATAACGATCTTATATTACAGCATTAGATTTTTTTCATCGACTTACCCAGAAATTTTCGAATAAAATTACTTTTATACAGAAAAAAAAAAAAATGTTAGCATCCGAAAACGCGATGAATATATATTTTCCACACGTTTTATCAGCTTCTTTTGCTGCAAGATTAACCTTAACGTTTATCAAGCATATTTTATTTATGAGAGGTCAAATCCCATGGTATATACCAAAATTTTTTAGCTATAAAAATCCAATATTTTTATTTGGATAATATAACTTATAAAAATTACCAAAAGTCCCTTTGACCAGATTGAAAACTTATTGCGAGGAGCTGACGATGTAATATTATTTGTGTAAATTTGAGACTTGCCATGCACAAAATTTTTATCATATTATTTATTTTGTTATACAGAAAAAAAATAAACGTCAAAACGCGACGACAAAAAAAATTAAGGAGGTTTGTTAAAATCATAATTAGAAAGAAAAAACGATCTTATTATAAATATAAAGATAACAAATTTCTATCGACAAAAAAAAAAAGTTGATCACGAACTTTCAAATCCTATCCGAAACGGTTACGACTACATTTCAACACATCTTTACCTATCACAATTGTTTGGGTTCTTTGAATTTAACCATATTATTTGGAAATACACCAATGAATCCAAAAGAAATTTACTTTTTAGAGTTTCTTAACGTATGCGCAGACTCGTTGTTAGAGCTAGATGCACCACAACTTGAAGATTCTGGCGAAAGAAAACTGCTCAGATCTTTGTTGGGGAATTTAAATGAGCAAGACCCTTTAAGTAAGTAACTATAAAAAAAAATTGTTGATAATTCTTATGAATGCTAATAATATAATTTGTTTAACGATATTAGATGCTACACGACTACATTTGCTTATTAAAACGTCCAGAAAAAACTCCCCGCCAGAATTAATTCCTAAACAACTGCTAAAACTTAAATTTGCTAAAATAAATGCATTATTTCTGGTTTGTGAAGGCTTGATAGGGAATTCATCCAGTCAATATGACGAATGTAATGACTCCAAACATGAGTCCTCTGATGATGACTTGATTTGGTATCATTTTAAAACGACGCTAGATGGGTTTGCAGTTATTTGATACAGTAGATATAGAATGTTATTTTCAGTATTACTTCATAAAAGATGTTGGATATTGAAATTTGTTAGAACTATCAATTAATCAATTATTTGCTGAACTATGATAGAAATTAAAAAATTTATTAGAATTGTTCGCTAGACACAATAATAAGTATCAATGATTGAAATATTATGAACTATATATGGGCGCTGTTCAGTAGAAAGGGGGGAAATCTACATTTTGGTTAAAAAATTTTTAAATGAAGCATAACCAGTTATATAATTCTAATCAAAAGTTTGTTTAAGTTTTACGTATTACCATCTAGTACTGTATATAGTACCCGGTGTGACACGATTTTTACATAGTGAAAAATTAAAAATCACGTGTATTA